GCAGACTGCTGACGCTTTAAACTTGCTACCCTGATTATTTAAGTTGTGGTAAAATTTCCACTGAATTATTTTTTAGAGTGTTTGTTGTTGTAGTTATTTAATTATTGCACTGCTACTGACAGGGTATATTGACAGGGTATTTCCCTTTACCGGCATAATAAAAAGAAACACTCACAATCTCACTCCAAATTAATACATATTTTATTAAAATTATTATATAGGATTTAATTCTCTTACAATGACCGAGATATTTTATTTTCTACAGTATATTGTTTCTTTACTTTCTTAACATCCTTTTTTCAGTTCATTGAGTCCAGGAGATGGAAGCACAAATAGAGTTAAATAAACTATACATTCAGACACTCAGTCTGTATTCAGAAGCTCCAAAAGCCCATCAGAAACTCCACCCTCTCACAACCTTTACCCTACCAAGAAGTGACTAGTCTTATGATTTCTCCCTTACATATCATACTGAAAGCTAAAAAGAGTCAATGTTGTGGAGATCAGAGGAGGACACTATAACTGAGGATTTTTGAGAAGTGTATTGAACAGAATAGATTTTGATTGTAATTGTAATTATTTACTTTTTTTTAAACCAAAATTCAGAAAGTGAAAGTAAATTGTAGATCGTTGCAGAAGAAAAGGAAATGGATTCCAAGTCTGTGGAAGAGCTTTCTTGTCCCGTGTGCTGTGAAATCTTCAAGGATCCTGTTCTTCTGTCCTGCAGTCACAGTTTTTGTAAAGAGTGTCTTCAACAGTTCTGGAGAATCAAGAAAACTCAGGAGTGTCCTGTCTGCAGAAGAAGATCCTCAAAACAAGAACCTCTGAGTATTCTAGCGTTAAAAAACTTGTGTGATTCACTGATAAAGGAGCGAAACGAGAGGCGCTCATCAGGATCTGAGGAGATCTGCAGTTTACACAGTGAGAAACTCAAACTCTTCTGTCTGGAGGACAAACAGCCGGTGTTTAGTGTGCAGATGTAACGGATGGGGAAGAACACAGTCACACACAGGGTTTCTTCAGCTTTGGTTTATCTTTTTGGGAAAAGAGTAGAATAAATCACATTGGCTGAAGACAATACTGCAGATATACATGGAAAAACCGCAGCAGTGACACTCAAATCTGCTGCGGTACAGAAAGAGAAGAGGGACAAAATACTACATTTACAGTACCATTATCGGCCACAGGAGGGAAGACTTCGAACACAAATTAATACAACAAATGCCTTATTTTATGGAATTCACATATAAACTGTTTAAATTAAATGTTCTTTTTAACCCTGTTACACAGAGACTCAGAGAAACACGTCAATCACACATTCAGACCCATCAGTGAAGTGCTTCCATCTCACAAGGTAATACAATTTTGTTTTTAATTTCATATGCTAAGGACAGTGATTTGCTAGTAACATGTTTGTGTACAATAATCCAGTTAGAATGTTCATCCGTTACATGTTAAATAATTTAAAAATATATGTCCTGCAAATTTTAGCCACAAATGAGACTATTTCCTGAGAATGACCATAGAGCATATGAATAGAAATAATAATACAAATATCCAAATAGAGCTCTTAGCTACATCAGTTTCACAGATTTTCATCTTAACTTGTAGGAGGAAAACAAGCTCAAACATGCAGAAGAAATGAAAGCAGAGTGTAATAAAACAGTTCAACACATCAAGGTGAGGATATTGAGAGTCAAACATTCACAGAGTTTATGATGGACATTATTGGAGTGAGTGTTAATACAGAGCTGACTGAAGTGAATGTGATGCGATTTCAGTCTCAAGCTGAGCACACAGAGCGTCAGATTAAAGAGGAGTTTGAGAAGCTTCATCAGTTTCTCAGAGATGAAGAAGAAGCTACAATCACTGCACTGAGGGAGGAAGAGGAGCAGAAGCAGCAGATGATGAAGGAGAAGCTGGAGGAGATGAACAGACACATCTCAGCTCTTTCACACACAATCAAAGACACGGAGGAGATGATGAAAGCCAGCGATGCCTGCTTTCTGAAGGTGACAACTGAATTTAGCTTCATTGTTTGTGCACAAAACAACTCACCAATTACCCAACCAATGATCAAACTCTTAATTTGTATAGAGAGAAAATGAACTGTTATGAGTGTTTGATGAGATATTAAAATGTCTTTCAAACTCTATATTTTCCAGGACTTTAGCATCACGATGGAAAGGTAAGTTGAGCTGCTGGTGTTTCTTCTCTCAGTGGATCTGAACTCAAATCCACTGCAGTTCTGACTCCTGAATGTTCTTCCAGAGTCCAGATCTCACAGCCGGATCCACAGATGAGTTCTGGAGCTTTGATTCATGCGTCACATTACTTGAGTGACCTGCGGTTCAGAGTCTGGAAGAAGATGCAGGAAACTCTCCAACACAGTGAGTCTCTAGAAAATCTGACAGCAGTACAAACGATTAAATACTGCAGATATAAACAAAGACAGACTGATTAACATGCATGATAAAAATAAATAAATAAATGTAATAATCACTTGAAATTCTATGGAGTTCAAGTGAATCTGAACTGTATTTCATAAGATCATCAGATCATACTGCAAACTCATAATGACTACAAAACAGTATATTCCTCGTGGTGTTTGTTTATGTACATTAAAGGAAGACTGTAAGCAAAAAACGTTTTAATGTAAAAAAAATAATAAAATAAATAATAATATTAAAAAACATGTACAGCCACCGTCTCCAAAATTATTAATTTAATTATTACAGACACAGCAATGCATCATGTTCTAGAATCTAGATCATCAAATTTGTGTTCCAGGGGATTAAAACGTACAATATATATTTCAGACCTAGTGGAGTAATAGTAACTAATAATATAGTAATAGTAAATGTGTAAAGTTGCATAAGCTAATTCTAACTTAGTGTCATATCCATATAAATTATCACAGACATTCAGAAGGCGGGACCCACTTTGAAACTGCAACATTAATTGGTTTAATTGCAGCTGAGTGACAATTCAACTATATCCAATGAACAAATGAGGCTAGAATTTGCTGCCCGTCTTGACTGGTGGACTAGCATATAGGGGATGCTACGGTTATGGAGGCCCCTCCTCAAAGCCAGAGGCCCTAGGCAATCGCCTGCTCTGCCTATAGCTAGCGCCGGCCCTGCATATGCCTAACAATAAATATTCAATCAACGTGTCCACTAAAGCGTTTTAAGCCAGCTGAAAAATGCCAGGTGCTCTTCTGAAAACGGCCAGCTGGTGGCGCTTGAGAAAGCTTTGGTGGCACAGCATTTTTCCAGATGACGATTTTGGTTGGATGTGGAATATCCATGGCAGTAATATTTTACTAGTATCACATTTTGAAGAATATTACTGAATATAAAATGCAGTATTTTATAATGCATTATAACCAGTAATAATGTCTCCATTGTTGTTCAGTCGTTGTACTAGTAGGATGGATGATCGGTGTAGCATTTGTCCCGCCCCTCCTCCAATGATTGGAAGGCTGAGTAAAAAGTGACAGTGTCTGTCTAGCGCTGCGTTTTACCAAAGTTGAACAGTTTTCAACTCTCAGCTACAAAAAAAAAAAAAAAGACAGCACAAATGAACTTATAAAATATTATGATGGCAGTGCATCAAAATTCAGTGTCATCAGTTTGCCAAAAAGAACACAGAACGTTTTATGCACCATGAACACATGGTAAGGAGCAGGTGTACAGAAAATACGAACATTTTCATGAATTCGAAAGTTTACGTCTCTGTCACAGTTAGCTGTTTAGGAAGCACGCAGGAGGCACGAATAAACGAAAACAGTCTTCAATCAATGTCAAGTCAAGTCACCTTTATTTATATAGCGCTTTTAACAATACAGATTGTGTTAAAGCAACTGTACAGCATTAATTAGGAAAAAAGTTCTCCTCTGGGCAGACGAAACCAGCAGTTCAATTCCAGGCTGCAGCAACGTCAGATTGTGCAGACGACTCATCTGGTTCCTGTGGTCTTGTCCCGGTGGCCGTCTAGGAGACAATGTCTTTACTGGGTATCTGTCTCTGGGGCTCATTTAGTTGTCCTGATCTCTGCTGACATTCAGGGCTGTAGAAGTCCTCTCTAGGTGCTGATCCACCATCTGGGGTGGATACGGACTGGATCCGGGTGACTGCAGTGAACATCTGATCTGGATACAGACTGGATCTGGTGGCTACGGTGACCTCGAAATAAGAAAGAAACAGACTAATATTAGCGTAGATGCCATTCTTCTAACGATGTATCAAGTACATTGGGTGTTATGGGAAGTGTTCCCGGTTCCGGTTGTCCTAATTAATGCAGCCTAAAAATCCTTTAACGGATTTGAATATTAGAAATGTGTTAGTGTGTTACGTGTAAGCCAGGTTAAAGAGATGGGTCTTTAATCTAGATTTAAACTGACAGAGTGTGTCTGCCTCCCGAACAATGTTAGGTAGGTTATTCCAGAGTATGGGTGCTAAATAGGAGAAGGATCTGCCGCCCACAGTTGATTTTGATATTCTAGGTATTATCAAATTTTGAGAATGCAGTGGACGTGGAGGTCTATAATGCAATAAAAGCTTGTTCAAATACTGAGGTGCTAAACCATTCAGGGCTTTATAAGTAATAAGCAAGATTTTAAATTCTATACAGATTTCAGATTTCAGAGCCAGTGCAGTGTTGACAGAACCGGGCTAATATGGTCATACTTCCTGGTTCTAGTAAGTACTCTAGCTGCTGCATTTTGAACAAGCTGGAGTTTGTTTATTAAGCATGCAGAACACAACCACCCAATAAAGCATTACAATAACCTAACCTTGAGGTCATGAATGCATGAATTAACATTTCTGCATTTGACATTGAGAGCATAGTACGTCTTCATGCGATTTGTTTTTTCAGAATTTAGCAGTAAGAAATTACTCGTCATCCAGTTTTTTATATCGACTATGCATTTCGTTAGTTTATCAAATTGGTATGTTTCGCCGGGTCGCAGAGAAATATAGAGCTGAGTATCATCAGCATAACAGTGAAAGCTAACACCATGTTTCCTGATGATATCTCCCAAGGGTAACATGTAAAGCGTGAAAAGTAACGGCCCTAGTACTGAGCCTTGAGGTAAATAATAATAATACATTTTATTTAAGGCGCCTTTCAAGTCACTCAAGGTCACCGTACATCATGAACAATAAATAAAACGGCAATAAATAACAATAAACAGCAATATCAATGAACCATAAAAAAAAAACAAATTTAAAAATGTAAGATTTGAGTGTAGCCAGTAATCATGTAGGATAAGCTATTCTGAATAATGTGAAATGTAAACAAACCCCGGGTGACACGCATAATTCAACTCTAAAAAGTCATTCTCTTGCTGCCAGGTCTCAACCAAACAGAAGAAATCAAACTTACGATCATCCACAATGTCACTGATGAAGAGACCCTTGTTAGAAAGTGAACATATATTAAAAAGTCCAACTTTGAGCTCATTCCCAACCAGTGAAGAGCTAGCCGATCTGGCTAAGCTAGCCAGTATATTAAAAAGTCCAACTTTGAGCTCATTTCCACCCAGTGAAGAGCTAGCCGATCTTGCTAAGCTAGCCAGGACGCTCTGGTCAACAGTCCGCCGAGTATTCCTAGCTGCTCGGGCAGCTGAAGTCCAGAATGACCGTATAACCTTCGAGTCATCATACCTGAAACCCCGTCGAGACCCACGATGGATATATTTCGGGCGGGGACGATGAACAATGTCCTGATGGAGGCAGAGCGAAGGCGGAGGCTCAGCAGAGTAGCACCGCAGCTGGTAGAGCTCGGTCACTGTATATAGAAACAGTGAGGTCGCCGAGTGGAACAGTGACAACAGAACAATCCAAGCGATGATGAAAAAATGGTGTCCACATTGTGTCAGTCAAAACTAAATTCAACAAAGGTAGAAAATACCGGAGAGCAGCGGCAGCCAATTGCGCTAGCGTTCACTCAACCAGTCCAAAAAAATCATGTTGGTACTCCATACTGCACTTGTGATCGATATGATACCTCTTCATTCACTGCTGATCTAAGACTTTTTCTATGTACACAAAAGGCCTATTTCTCTCAAATATTGTTCACAAATCTGTCTAAATCTGTGTTATTTAAGCACTCTCAAAAACGTACATTAAAATCACTGAAGCTGTTTACAGTCACAGTTCGCTGCTTAGGAAGCATGCAGGAGGCACGAATAAACGAAAACAGTCTTTAATCCACGGAACACGGGGTACATCCACACTGGAAATGGCAGGAAACACACAAAGATAACGAGAAGAACCGACAAACACAGAACGCAAAGGCAAGGACTTAAATACTGGGGATAATTAACAAACACAGGTGCCAGGAATCATAATTAACCTAAACAAGTACAGGAAAAAGACCATATAAGGAAACCCAGGAACAAAGACAGGGGCAAAAAAACAACAAAACAGGTCCATGATCCTGACATATCACCCCCCCTCCCGGAAGGTGTGTCCTCACACCGTAGAACAACAGAGGGGGGGAAATGGGTGGGAACTAAGGAGGAGGCTCAGGAGGAGGACGGATGTCCGGGAGGGGGCCGGCAGACAGAGTTCAGGGAGGAGACGATGGAGGGAGGAGCCAGGGAGGAGACAGGAGGGGCTT